CTCAAGGGGACTCTGGCATCCTTCTCGCTTATCTCCGTGCCTCCACACGCCCCCCTCCCTCCCGTTTTCGTGCTTTGTGATGGGGGGTACAGATGGTAGGGGCTGTTTTGGGCAGCGGAGGGACTGATGTTTGTTTCTCAGCAACGTGCTGCTGTGGGAGGTTTGGTGGTTCTGCCTGTAGCAGCGGGTTTTTCACATCTCCTCCTTCATCGCTGCTCGTTCCCCTCAGACCCCAGGGATATCCTGCACACGGGGAGCTTATGTCAGGGTTTCGGAGGGCCGTGCCTTACGGCTGGAAGTGTGTGAGCCTGGTCTTTGGCTTGTCGCTGCTGCTGTCAGAAACGCCGTGCGATAATACGATTTTTCGTTGTGGTATGATACTTAGTTGTCTGGGGTTTTTTTCTTGTTGTAGTTGATCCCTCTGTTTTTGATCATTGGATCTGGAGGCGTTGGTGCAGCCTTGTACCTCATGCGTTTGGCAGTGTTCAACCCTGATGTCTGGTACGTATGAAATAATTCACAGCGCCCGGTCCTCTGGCGGCATATGTCAAAGGAAGCTTTGCTGCCTCGGTTTTTGTGTTCCTGGAGGCCTTAATGTCTTGCTGCAGTATCATTGACGTGAAGCACATGGAGATTTCCTTGAATTGGAGGTTTGTGTGTTTATCACATGATATTTAGAGCCTGCTGACGGAGGAATGTGGCTTTTTCTGGGGAGAGTTATTTGGATACTTGACTCTCCATGGCCTGATAACCACAGTACATGTATGAATTTTACTTATTTTGAAGGCAGTGTGATTCTCTTAATGTGGTCTCATATCTTGCATTTCTGTTCATATAGCTGGGACAAGAAGAATAATCCAGAACCTTGGAACAAACTGTCTCCCAGCGACCAGTACAAGGTAAAATGATAAATACAGATTTTTAGGAAACATCATATCAAAGGTGTAGCCTGCTGCTTTAGGATGTTTGAGTATATTGGGAAGTAGCTGAATGAGTGATGGATTTCCTCTGCTGTGCAACATTTGTCCCTGGAGCTCAGGGAGGAGAGGGCTGAGTTTGAGATTTAAAACTTTTCTGGAGTTGGTTGGTAACGGGGTGCAAGGAGTCCCTGTGGAAGCAGGCATGCATGTTGCACTGCAGGAAAAAGAAACATTGTCTGTGAGAGGAAGAACGTGCTAGCTCATAGTACTCAGAAATAAACCACGGGGAGAAGGACAAAACCTCCTCTGAGTTCTGAACTAAAGCTTTCTAAGCTCTAAACTGTTGGCCTTGACTCATGAGAGGCAAAGCAGGAAAATGCCTGTGTTTAATGTCAACACTAATTCAGTTCTACAGCTGGTTGTTTGGAAACAAAACAATTGTGAGTAACATTGGCTGTAATAGAAGGGTTCTTTGAGTAATATTCAAGTTATTTCATTGCACTAACAAGGAACCTGCAAAGATGTGTAAAACACTTGGTAGTTTACGCAAATCATGTTTTTATCATGTTTTACTAAAGTGGGATTTTAGTAGATTCCTGTTAAGAATATTTTAGGATTATCCTCAAGCTACTAAGAAAGCAAACCTGCTGTTTTCAAAGCTAGTGTCTCTTCAGTACCAGAGCTCCCTGTTCCAATCACTGAAATAAGCAAAAAAAACCCACCCCATGCTCCAAAATAAAGTCTGTGGTGGTTCCCTTAAAAGTCCAGGAAGAACCTAAGGCTTTGTTTTCATTGCTGCTTCTGGAATGTTGCTGTTTCTTAAGTATCTGAAAGAGGGGAATTCAGCACAGTGCAGCACAAATTCTTGTGAAGAGTGCTGCCTTGTGTGACATTCCCCTCGTGTCAGAGCCTGCAGGCACAACGCAGGGTTTACCATCTTTGGGGGGGTGGAGCGTTGGGGATTGGTTGTTGGGGTTTTTTTTTTTTCCAAATCCCCACTGTAGGAAATGGAGAAGGAGATCCTCTAAATTGAGGATGACTGTGTAGTAAAAAGTTCTGATATAACAAGTTTTAGCTTTTGATTAAAGTTTTTTCTTTCCTAAACTTATGTCGGCTCCCCCAGCCTTCCCAAAGAGCTGAAGACCCAATCGTTACTGGAGGAGCTGCCCAGAGCTGTAACTGGGATGTGCTGCAGGCTGGTTTGGTTCCTCTGAGGAAGTTTAATTCAGCTTGGGCAAACTAAAAATAATCAGGCTAATAGAGAAATATTTTTACTAGTTTTTTGGTTTTGAGACAAACTATCGCTTGATGTCAGGTCAGGCTGGGATGCCAGAATGTGCTTTTAGTCACGGAGGACAACAACTTTACCGACTATTTGGACAGTTTTGAATTGCTTGTAGGAGGATCCAGCTTTATTAACACAAACTGGAAGCGTGGAAGGATCCGTCCTTGCATTCCCTCCGTACCTGACAGCCGTAGGTGCGGCTGCTTAAACCGCGCTTGGCTCCGGCGGCGCCGCGCCGGGTGTTCCCTGTGCCGCTCTCTGCTCGCCCACACTGTGCTTGCTGCTGCTGGGCGATGCCTTCGGTCTGTGGCAGCACGTAGATTTGGGGCAAAAAGGATAAACTCGGCAGTCCTGTGAGAGCTTCCTGAGAATAGGCTTTTAATTCTGGGGGTGAAAGAAGAGATACGTTGGGTTTCTCTAGTCGTAGATATGAGCACTGCCTCATTTTAAATGCAGAGCTTCTAACACTGTGTGCAGAAGGAAGGTAGTATGAAAAAGCTCCTGCTCTTCCAAGGTTTGTTTGTTTATTTATTATTGTTTAGTGTACAGACTCAAACCGTGATTTCAGTTTCCTGACGTGAGGTTTTTTAGTAAATACTGTGGAAAACAGATAGTCCAGCTCCTCACTCGTTTTTTTTCCCCTCTTTTTCCTAGTTCTACTCGGTTAACGTAGACTACAACAGACTGAAAAAGGACCGTCCCGACTTCTGAACAACACGCTCGTCTCCATGAGCTGCACAGAAAGGTCTTCCAGAAGCCGTCCGCACACTTGTCATGCTTAATCATCCAGGAAATCGCCAACCTCGCCTCACGCTGCACTCGGTCGTGGGTTTGAAAGTGTTTTGATGAGGCTTAATAAAAGTCTGAAACGTGAAGCGTCTGCTCGTTACTCCGCCTTTGCAAAGGGAGAGCGTCCCCTCTGCGGCGGGGTGGGACCGGGCAGGTCGTGAGCAAAAGCCAGCTCGTGCTTCCTCCACGAGGAAGCGAAGTTGTCTTGATGGGCTTGGTAATCTGTTGACTTCAGAGAAATAATTGCGTGTTCGTGCGGCTGCAAGAGCTTGAAAGCACGTGTTTATGTATGTATTTAGCTGGTTTAATTGCACCTGAATTTTTCTGCTTGCCTCTTTAAGAAGTTTGGTAGTGGACAAGTCAGTGCTGACAAGGCATCATCCAGCAGGGAGGCAGCAGATGTTGCCATGTGTTGCTGGAGGGAAGGAAACAACAAAAAAGGCCAAACTCTCTGTGAAAGGTTTCGTTTCTTTAAGTCCTAAGCAGTTTGTTAATAAACAAGAAGACAATCTTAAATCCTTAAAAAGTAAAATTCTGGGAACATATTCAAGTATTCCTGTGGATCGAGCTCTTAAGGGAGGGAAGCACAGGGTAAGAACAGGGTACAGAATTCCAGAAATAATTACATTTTCATGTAAGAACAAAAATCCCTTTCAACCAGGGGAAACTCTCGTATTTCAGCACTTGGCTGAACCTTGCTCTGGGAAAGACAAAAAGAAAATGCCTTTGTGAGTCTGTAGCTTACAGTAGGTTGTTCCTCTCTGTGCTTTTCTGTGAACATGTGGTATTTCCGTGGATAAGGGGTGTAATTCGGGACTCCCTGACAGAGCCCAGCTGTTCCTGTCTCGGTACAGCGCAGCCCAGTGGACTCTGAGAATGGAGATGTTACAAATCATTAACGATAAATTCAAAGAAACTGGGTGGCAAGAACTTTTAGTGGAGAAGAAAAACTATTCTGTGGTAATTGCAAAATAAATATTCAGACTTCCTATTTATATGGGAAAACCTTAACAGGTCAGTTGCTGGGGTTTATTCGGTAGCAGTTCGGATATTTCCATTACACACCAAAATGGGGTTACTTGCGGTTTCCACTTGCCTGGTTGAGAAGCTCTCACGGAGTCTGAGGAAGAAAATGAGTGTCACGGGTGGTGTTCACAGGGGTGGACGAAGTCTGTCAGCATCCTTGGGGATATATATCCAAATATTTTTAGGATGTTCTGTTGCAACACTTTTTGGTTTTAAACGTGTGCTGTTTAAAAATGGGAAGTGTGCTCCTACCTTGCTAGTTGGCCGTCCTTTGGGGTTTTGCTGACGCTACACGGTCTTCAGGGGGTTGAAGAAAGAGCAATATCCAAGAAGGGAACCTGATTCTTCGCGAGACAAGGCTGTTCCTTTCGGTCACGGCTGGAGAAGATGTAGGCTCCTGTTTTTTCCTAATAAAGGCACTTAAAATAATCGTCTGCCCTTGACGTATTTTAAAATGTATTTAACAAGTGCTTAAGCTATTTAGAGCTTTAAATAGGGATTGACTAGGAAACAAAAAGGCAATTCAGTCGATGCTACTTCCTCTTCCCTCATAGCAGCATCCTTGCTGCTGAAAATACACAAAACTTCTAAAGTCTTTCAGTTAAAACCCGTCATGTTTCATTCTGAAGGCCATTATCCTGAGGGCACGCTTTCTCCTTTTGGGGTTATGCTTCTCCCCGATTGTAAACAGTAGCAGACAGTCGCCATCACCTGCCAAAGTTCAACAGGCATCGTAAGAATTGTTTCTCAAGCTTTAATTCTTGAAATAGTCAGTAATTGAAAAATATTGCCCAATTTCTAAAAAAAAAACCCCTGTGTCAAATGGAGAATGCTGCATGTTTTGTGTGACTTGGCATCTCAACCGCTAGCACGTGATTTTCATGTGAACAAACTGTGCTACTTTTTGGTTCCAAGGGACTAATTTCTCACGGCAGGTGTTTCTTACTGTTGAACCCTCGCAACTGTAGAGACTTCAGGCCACTTACCAAGTGCGTCTGCGATTATTCTGTGGGCAGAAATGAAGCACTTCCTTCAATCTTCAGCTTTGGCTCACAGAAGCGTGGAAATTCACCAACTTTATTGGTCGTATGGCAATGTGTGTTCTTCAAATCCCACAGTTCCCCCATTTTTGATATTTTATGATTAACTTATGGGTCGATAGATCTATCCCAGTAATTCAGATCTGTGATCTGTTACTATTCCCTCAGCAGTCTGGGGTTTTTTATGCTGCTTTGCTGGGTTTTTTTTTAAACATACAAATGCACTTTATTAGTCCTTGTTTCCTTTTTTTTTTTTGTTACTTCATGTATTGTTTTTATTCTTAAAATTCCAGTCCTGCCAGGCCTTGAATTCCTGCTTACCTTTTACCACTGTGGTTTTTCCGTAGGGACAGAAGAACCATTTATTCGATGCAAAACCAAAGCACGTGCCTGGCCCAGTTTACAGCTGCTTGGCAGCAGTGGTCTCCCAGTATCCAGTACATTTCTTTGTGTTGTCGCAGTTTGCTGTTTCTGGAAGAACCGTTCTCACAGCTTGGCAATGTTCTGAGTTAAAGCGCTCAACCATCTCCTTTAAAGCTGCTGCCGCTTCAAAGCCATCTTCTACCTCTGTCTTCTTCATGAAGCCGAGGATGGTTGGTATTCCCTGCAAACAGCATGAAGAAATTTGCAGTTTGGATTTCTAGGATTCCAAATCCCACTAAATTTACCTTTTCTGAAGCAACTAAATCCCATCGTGAACAGGAAAACCGAGGTCCTTCGTCAACACCGTGGCGCGTAATTTTGCTTGAGCAGCTGTCGCGCGGTCTCTGATGTTCTGCCATCTTCTGTTTCGGCTAACGTTGTTATAATCGAGTTTGCATTTTGAATAGATAATTACTTTCATTGATAACTAATCGCTTTTAATGGGTGACTTGATTGCTTTAAGGAATAACTAACGCTATGTACTGATGATATTATTTACATTGTAGTAAGAAACACCCAAAACCTCGCTGATGCTCAGAAACAACAGCTGCTGCCTTGCAAAGAAGGTCAAAGCTAAAGCTGCAGCTAATTGTGAAATTGTCCAGAACAGAACAGGGAGGCAAGGAGACAGGGACAGGGAGGGAAAGTGCCCATTCTTGACGTGTCTTCTCATCTTACGGGATGAAACCAGAGAAACTAAGGAATGTTAAGGTGAAGACCCTCACCTCCTCCCCATCCTAATTTGCATTACAGAGATCTTGATCAGTAAGATCACCAATGATTATGTTAGTATAGGAATATTAATGAAGTTAGTTAATAGGTGGACCAATCGTTGTAAATGTCAAAATTAATAGCAGGCATAACATGCGTGCTGATGTTAAAACATATTAAAGACCACGACTTTGCAGAAAAAGGATATAAAATGCTGAATTGTTTGGTGTAACTTTGAAGCCCGTCAGGGGGAGCCCCCCCCCGTGCTCCCCAGCGCTGCCATGAAGAAGTGTCGGCTTCTCTGCGGTTGTGTAGATAAGTTTGTCCTGACTGCGACCTTTCGTCAACAACGTGGGCACAGCTGCCACGTTCCTGTTTGCAGGAGATGTTTTTGGACCGACCGGCGTAGCCCTGGCCTGCGTCTTGTTCACCAGCCACGTACCGGAGATCCGTCTCTCATTTTGGCAGCACAGCGCCGTGCCCGCCACCGTCGGGTTTCTGTTAACGCCGCTGGCCCGCGCCTCCCGGTCGGGGATCCTGAAACACAGCGGGGTGATCCGAGCTGAAATTCCTTCTGCCCACCTGGGACAGAAAGAATTACAGGTGTCCATGGTTTTGGCGCGGGAACACGGCCTCCATGCAGCGTTTGGTTGTATTTAGTACAGCCAATAAGTAGGATTTATCTCCTTTGCCTGCGGTAAAGGAAGGTTCCTCGTGAGTATAAAACACTAACTGCCTCTAAGGAATTAGAGGGCTGTGCCTGATTTTAAAAGAATAATTTGAATTTTGCGTAGGATTTCTAGCCAAATGTCATCTGAGGGAACACATTTCAGGTCTGTTTTCAAGCTCTGCTTTACCTTTGAAGATAGTTTGGTGGGTGACTGTTGAATGACCTTTAAAACTACGCAAATGTATGTTCAGTGCTGATTGGACTGTAATACTTTGTCAGAAAGAAAGGCTGAAAAGTTATGATGGGAATTTTAAAAACGTATTTAGAACAGAAAATGAGTTATTCAACAAAATTGTGCACGCAAAGTTATTGTTTCTACTCATTGGCCAGCCTTACCATGAAAGCTACTGTAGGAGCTAGAAAACCCTTTCTCCAGGACAAAGCGACGCACAGCGGGTCTATGAGAACTCCAAAAAATAGCTGTTCACTTGCATCATGGCCATAGCAGGTTTTTTCATATTACTTCATAGAAAAGTTTGCTCTCCACTCCTCTTTTTTGAGATCCAGAAGTTGGTTGACTTCATGCTTTCATGATCCATCCCCTTCTCCTTAGAGGGGGTCTTGGCATCAGTAGTGAGTCATGAGAAGTTCCTATGAAGCTCAAATCGTTTCATCTCCTCCTCTGATCTCTAAGCTTCTTAAGAGTGTCTCCGGATACCACTGTGACGGCATGTTTCCCAAACGGGCGTTAATCCTGGTGCCATCCGGCTTGGATGAACTTGGTTTTTTTTTTTTAACCATTTCACAGTACTATTCTCTATGGTTGGTAAGGCTTAACACTTGCTTAGGAAGAATGACACGAACCAGTACAACGCAAATAAGTACACCCCCCTTCCGTTCTTGAGAAGCGAATCTGTTTTTAGCATCCAGAGTGACATCTATCTAAACTAGGAAAGTATTCAACGTTTTCTTCTCGCCTCCTTTTTTTGACGTTTCATGTAAATGAAACTAAAAACTAATTTTTAGACTTTCTAAGCTAATGGCATTCTCACCGTTACCAGCTGAAGAGCCTGTGAGATCACCACACTTCGACTTGCTCGATTTTTTCTGTTTTCTTGACAGCCAGTGTCAGTGTTACGTCAGGTAATGTGAAATGAGAACTTCAGCATGCCAGTCCAGGCGAGAGCAACGCGTTCAACCTTTCGGTAGTTTGCTATCAGCACTTACCTGA